TGCGGTGGCCGGGAGTGTGCCACTGCACTCCAGCCTGGGCGACAGAGTGAGACTCCAACTCAAAAAATAAAAAAGAAAACCTAGGGAGGCCAAGCCAAAAAAAGAAAAAAGAAAAAACAAAAAAAACAGGTAACATACCTGTTAATACATGCATATCATTTTGTGAGGATATTGTTTTTAAAGCAACAGATATCCTTTACATGGTGATTGAAAAATCTGTATATGTATTCTTATAACATTCCTTTAAGTGAGAAGCAGACAATAGATCAAGGAGGGGATTGAGAAGTGAAGTTGCCCAGAGTCTTGTAGACAGAAGCATAATCAGGACAAAAACAAGTTTCCTGATGCTCCAGGCTGGTGGTGCTCAGTTCACTAAATCAGTGTTTTCCAAACTTGCTTGATTGTGAGTAGGTGCGAGTTAGGAATTTCTATCTTTTGCAAGTGTGCAGGTAATTCTTAGGATCAAGCAAGTTTTTGACATACTTGTCCGTGGTATGGATACACATTGTGCACGCTGTGAAAGTCTGGAAGTCTTGGCTCAGGGAGCAACTATTTATTTAGCATACAGTTGATACATCCAACACTATGGTACAGGATTAAGCACAAGGGTTCTGAAACCAGACTTTCGGGCTTTCAGCCAAATCCTGGCTCTCCCACTTGGTTAGCCTTATGACCTCTCTGTGCCTCAGTATCCTCGTCTATAGGACAGAGATGTGTATACGAGCTACCTTGTTGGGTTGCTGTGAAAATCGAAATGAGTTAATATGTGCAAAGCCCTTGGGAAAACATCTAGCATAAATAAGTGCTTAATATATATAGTAAAGTACCTACCATAAATAAGTACTTAACATGTGTGAATATTGTTACTATCACTATATGTGAGTGCAGTGGCACTTTCTGCAGGTGCTGAAGTATGACCAAAACTTCGGCACCTCTTAGCAAGCTTCAGCTTTTCATTATGAGTCATGTGCCATGAAAAGATCTAGGAGACTGTCATTTGGGGTGATTAAAACCAATCATAGATTAAACATGTCTTTCCACCTGTTGTAAAAAAAAAAAAGTCAAATCAGTGCTCCATGTGCTATGAAACAACCTTTGCAGACATGTTATGTTTTGGATAGAACACATCCTCCCCTAGTCACCGCTTTTCTGGGATCCTACTGTGCCCATATTTAGAGGTTCTGTGGTGGTAGCATCCTTCCCTCCTGAGACACATTAACCCTCCTTAATGCTGCTATAGGCCGGATGTTTCCTCCTTGTGCTCTACAGGAGACTTCCCCTAGAGCCTCAGAGTTGCCTCATAGTCCTGCTCCCCTGCTGGTTTGATTGTGGAACTATGCTGAACACTACTCCCCTCAGCCCCCCAAGAAGCATCCTCTCCTCTCCTTCCTACTTCTCCCATCTGCTCACCCATTCCCCATACCACAGCAGAGGAAAAATCTTCTGTGAGGGAGTCAAACGTTATCTTTAGCAACTGTCCTGAAAGGATTCTGAAGCCCTTGGAGATACAGCTCCCACTTGGGGGCCTGGGAATGCTGCTACAAAGCTGTCCCCTTAGAAACAGGAAAGGCTTAAACCCAGAGGCAGCGCCAAATTCGCGCTGAAATTTTGCCTTTGAGCTATGAGGGACAGAAACAAATGTGAGGAGCAGGAAAGCAGCAGTGACCTCTATTAAGATCTGTTTTTCTTGCGCCTAAGGGTTGCTCAGGTATGGTGGCTCACGCCTGTAATCCCAGCACTTTGGGAGGCAGAGACAAGAGGACTGCTTGAACCCAGGGGTTCCAGACCAGCCTGGGCAACTTGGTGAGACCTCATCTCTACTATGAAAAAAATTAGCCAGGCATAGTGATGCGCACCTGTAGTTGCAGCTGCTTTGAAGGCTGAGGCGGAAGGATTGCCTGAGCCCAGCAGGTCGAGGCTGTGATGGTGGTGTGTGTGCTACTGCACTCCAGCCTGGGCAACACAGTGAGACTCCAACTAAAAAACAAAACAAAACCTGAGGGTTTCCTCATCAGAATTCCCCTGAAAGTGAAAGATGCTAGACTACTTGGGCATAACCTGGAGTGTCATTGGGTCTCACCTGCAAGATAAGATGGCTATATTTGATCATGTCTAAAATTCTTTCCTGTTCTTATAAGCTTACAATATTTATATTTCTCACTCCCTGCCTTTTATAGTCAGGGTTTCTATTTGCTTATGTGAACTTCAGGCATCTTGTCTTTCCTTCTATCTCAGAGCTCTAAATAGAAAGGGCTCTTATTTAGGGACACACGTATCCTTTGGTATACCTGTAAAATTATGAGCATCATCATGAACCTCAGCAGACATCTGATTAATAGTTTAGGATGCCACCAACATTTTTTTGGAATATTTTGCCTTCTTTTAAGCAATGTGTACCATATACAACAAGCAAATGCAGAGCCTCTGTTGTGCATTTGAAAAGCCTCATGTCTGTAGTGACTTAAGACATCACCAAGAAACAGTTTGAAAAATCTGTTTTCTAGCCCTGTTTTTTGGTTTTTTGGTTTTTTTTTTTTTTTTGCTCAGCTTCCCTGACCAGAACACCAAAACCTAACAAAATAGTTATTGCACATAAGTGATGAGCAGGGAATAGTCTATTACTTTAAAACTCTAGAGAAAGAAAAAGTATTCTCCCCTACAGAGTCTAGAAATCTGGATGACAGAACATAAGGGATGTGACTGGGGAAAAAGCAAACTAGTACATCTGGGAAATAAAGAAAACGATCAGAAACCCAGATATTTAGTGAGAAGGAGAAACCAGGACAACAGCCAAACAGATCTAGAGGGAGAGAGGGGAGTACTTTAGATGGGAGTTGGCAGACAGCAAGAACAGCAAAAGGGGAAGGCAAAAATAGAGGTTTGAGGGCTCTGTTTAAATCTAGAAGTAGACACCCTCATCTCTCAGGCTATTGATTCCTGTGCCACTCAGCCATAGGTACCCCTGGATCAGAAAAAACACATTTTGGAGTAGAGAGGAGCTCAGGCCTGGTACATTAGAGCACTAGATAAGGAAGCAGAAAATTTGGTTTTCTTTTCTTTTTTTTTTTTTGAGTTGGAGTCTCACTCTGTCACCCAGACTGGAGGGCAGTGGCCGCTCCCAGCCACCGTAGCCTCGACCTGCTGGGCTCTGGCTATCCTTCCTCCTCAGCCTTCCAAGTAGCTGGAACTACATGCGCGTGCTACCACACCCGGCTAATTTTTTGATTTATTGTAGAGATGAGGTCTCACCAAGTTGTCCTGGTGGGTCTCAAACCTGCGGGCTCAGGCAATCCACTCACCTCAGCCTCCCAAGGCGTGGGATTACAGGCTGAGCCACCGAGCCCAGCTGAAAATTTGGTGTTCAATCCAGCTTGGATGTTGAAGCTATGTGACCTGGGACAAGTCCTTTCTTTTCACAGGGCTAAAACTTTTGACACACAAATAACACACATCACCAATATTTGGCGAGCATTCAGGTACTATGTTAGGCCCTCTTTGCATTTCCTCTCTTTTATTCCTCCCAACTGTCTTATTATTACTCATTTTATTTAATTTTAGGTCGGAATCTCACTCTGTTGCCCAGGCCAGAGTGCAGTGGCACACTCACAGCGACCACAACCTTGACCTGCTGGGCTCAGATGATCCTTCTGCCTCAGCCTTCCAAGTAGTTGGAACTACAGGCACAAGCCACTATGGCTGGCTAATTTTTTCACTTCCTGTAGAGACAGGATCTTGCCAAGTTGCCCAGGTTGGTTTCGAACCCCTGGGCTCAGGCATTCCTCTTGCCCTTGCCTCCTAAAGTGCTGGGATTACAGGTGTGAGCCACTGCACCCAGCTATTTTAACACTTTATTTGTTTTTGAGTTGGAGTCTCATACTCCAGCCCAAGCTGGAGTACAGTGGCACACTCATGGCCACTGCAGCCTCAATCTACTGGATTCAGGTGATCCTGCCGCCTCAGCCTTCCCAGTAGTTGGAACTACAGGCATGCGCCATCACACCTGGCTAATTTTTTGATTTATTGTAGAGATGAGGTCTTGCCAAGTTGTCCAGGCCGCTCTCGAACCCCTGAGCTCAGGCAATCCTCTCACCTCAGCCTCCCAAAGTGCTGGGATTATAGGTGTTAACCACCGCACCCAGCCTTATTTTAACTTTTTTTTTTTCTTGAGTTGGAGTTTCACTCCA